ATTTAACCAAATAAAATTAACTCAAGCCATTTAAACTAGCACAATAAATCCAAACCAACTCTCATGTCATCATCGCAAAATTCCACGTATATGCAATCTCATACTCACACACAAGCAAATATCATGCAATAGAATCTAAGAACTCAAACTCTAAGGGCAAAAATATAATCACATAATAAACATGAATGCTCACCAAGAAACCACCTCCCCAAACTTAGAGTTTGCATATATCATCGACACCAATAAATACAAAAGAGTAAAAATAGAGGTAAAAGAAACGAGTTCACCTTAGTCAATGCGAAGAAGGTCGACCGAACCACGCACACCATTGGGTTGCCTCCCAACAAGCGCCTCTTTTTATTGTCGTTAGCCCGACTTATTGCTCCTTTTTCATCAAAGGGTCCATGGCGGCTTCCGAGGTGGCCTCAAAGGAGCCACAATTCTCACGGCCCCATGCTTATTGAAATTTATTCTTTTCGGCGTTGGATGCTTCGCCGGATCTTTCCTCCATGACGCTAGTTGCTCAAGAATATGTAGCAACACATGATCAATCACGATCATCGTCTCATTGAACTCCCACTTACACCTTCCGTTCTGCTCGATCGTCTCAAGAGGCTGGATATTAAGGCTCAAGACATGCTTCAGTGCATCTTTACTCAGTACCCACTTCATATTGGAAAAGACAAGACAAGGTTCAGCTTCTATCGACACAAGAGCGGGGAGAACGGTTCTCTTTTCGGCTCCAGCAGGTCGAGTACTGGGTCTAGCAAGTCGAGTAAGGGGTACCCCCGTACTCTGCTGTTTCGACTCTGCTTTCTCTATATTAGTGATTTTTTCGTTCTCCGGCTTGTATGTGCACTCTTCAGGCTCTTGATGCTTGCCTCAACACTTTGCTGAAAGTTAAGAGTGTGAGCCGTCAACTCCATCATCATCTCCTCGATCGACGGACCAGGATCCCTCTCAACTAATGGCTCGCAAAACTCTTGTTGAAATCTCAACGTGTTTAACCTGAATACCTCTACCATATCCTCCACAGACGGGCTGGGATTAATTGGTGGCTCGGAGTACCCATAGAAAGAGTTCGAGTGCTCTCTCAAGTGGTATCCATACTCATCGGTATAGAAGTAGTCTTCCTCGTTCCTTTGCCAACCACTAGATCCTCTTACGTCTCGATCTCCAATCCACGGGCCTCGCATCTCCCTCTCATATTGGTAAGGTGTCTGGATGGTATAAAAGTCGTGATAATAGGCTGCCATCTCGAAAAATTGCACCAAGCTCGATCAAAAGCGCCAATTAACCCGCGAGTATGGGGTCAAACTTTTCTGTCCAGCAGAGTACGGGGGCGCCCAGTATTCTGCCAAGAAGAAAAAAGAAAAACAAGAAAAAAAGGGGGGTAAAAGATATAAAATAAAATCCTAAAAGAAAAGCAATAAAAAAGATAATAATTCAATTAGTACTCAAAAATCACAATTCAATAATGCCACTCCCCGGCAACGGCGCCAAAATTTGACCGCGCGTCGCAACGCGGCAAAATTAATATTTATAAATTCCTTAACCGACTTCTACCAA